GCAAATAAATATGTCTGCTGTTGTTACATGGAAAATGCCTTCCAAATATGACCAATCCCAAAGGGATTTCAAGATTGTTAGAATTATATCCTTTGTAATTTTTTTTTGCTTTCCTACCAGAATCACCTAAACAAACAATACTTACATGAAATTTTTATAAAACTCTAGTAATTTTCCCCTTTAAGGATTTTTTATATATAATTTTCATGTTTTATCCTTCAGTAAAATTAAGAACTATAATTTATACTATCGCATAGAGTACATGTATGATCACTAGATGATTCACATATAGACACACATTACAGAAAATTAAATTTTCCTCTACTTATATTAGTCAATTGAAAATCTTCAAGCTATTGCCCATCTTCTCTCTCTCAATTTTTGGCACAAACTAAGAAACATGAAACAAGGAAGAATATTAAGTAAAATTAATTTAAGAATTGCAATCATAGTATTTATAAATTATAAATGTTTTTTAAATAATTGACTAAATATCACATAAAATGTAATGACATGATGATTCTACTTAATATATCATACAGACAAGGCAAACAAAATCAGAAAACTAAGATCTTAAAAGCTGGATATTGCTTCAAAGGGCATCTAGTTCAACCACGAAGTACATTTATGTTCCACTGCTCTATTTTATTTTATCAGCTACACAAAACATACACAACCCAGCTATCGGAGACCAAAGAAACTTAATGTAAATGGTGATTTTTTTTAAGGTTTTAAGTTTAAATACCCCTGCACTTTTTGAAAGCTCACGGCATTTACTTCACTTTTACAAAGGACCTATATTAGTACCCGTTTTAGCTAACTGAAAGAACTCTGAAGATTTTCACCTCTACAATGAAAGGCAAAAGCAAAAATGACGTTCAACATCTGCTTTGCTGGAGCGCTGGAGAGCTGTTAGGGAGGCAGCAGGCAGCTCAAGCAGTGGGAATGTCCCCACAGCCTCGTTCCCTGGGAACTGCACTCGGCCTTGCAACACAAGGCCACCAGAGTTGTGAATTGTGACTGTGAACACCTGTGCTTTATTTTGATTTATTCTATGTATTCGTTAGCAAGATGTGCCCTGAGGTATCAGAAAAGCCTAAGAATAGCTATATTTTAGGCCTAGGAATGCATAAAAAGTTTCCATAAAAATTAATGGTACTAGGGTGCCTGAGGGGCTCAGTCCGTTCAGCATCTAATTCTTGATTTCGGCTCAGGTCATGATCTCAAGGTTGTGAGATCGAGCCCCACGTAGGCCTCTGGGCTGACAGCTCAGAGCCTGGAGCCTGCTTCCAATTGTGTGTCTCTCTGCCCTGCCCCCACTCACACTCTGTCTCTCTCTCTCTCAAAAATAAATAAACATTTAAAAAAGTTAAATTAACAGTGGGGTGCCTGGGTAGTTTGGTCAGTTAAGCATCTGACTCCTGATTTCAGCTCAGGTCATGATCTCAAGATTTTGAGATTGTGCCCTGCATTGGGCTCTGTACTGAGTGTTGAGCCTGTGTGGGAACCTCTCCCTCCCTCTCTTCCTCTGCCCCTCCTCTGCTCTCTCTCTCTCTCTGTCTCAAAATAAATATTTAAAATAGATTAATTAATTAATGGTAATCACTTATTTGCTTTACACCATTTTGGTCTATGCAAGGTTTTAGAGAGCACTGCCCTTTGGGATAGCAGAGGAAACCTGTATTAGGATAGCCAGTGTGAAAAACCCTGGTATGAATTTGCTGTTTTGACTTCCTTCTGAGAGATCTTTTGGAAATGCTTTGATACACAGATAGTAGAAAACCAGTTGATGGTAGAAATCCAGATATTAGACAACCAGGCATTAGGTACCCTCTGTGACTTAACGCCATTCTGAGGATCTCCATATTACAAATGTGGAGAGAACACAGCCAGTCCTATATACTTCCTAGAACTGTCCAAATGTAGCAAAGTATTTTAAAATGCTCTGAAAACAGTACAGGGCTATAAATTCAAAGCATTTTTTTTGTTATATTCATACACATTTATACTGTCATACCTAGAAATTTTAATCAGCCACAAGTAAACGCCGCATCTACATACCACATGTCATTTCTCACTGTTAGTAAAAGAATCACTGCAATATACTGAATGGTGGCCCTACCCGAATGCATCTATGCCCTAACCTCCAGGACCAGTGAAGATGTTATACGGCAAGAGGACTCTATAGATGTGATAAAGAATTCTAAGATAGGGGAGTCTACTGGATTATCTAGTGTAAGGATAAAAGGGAGGCAGAAGGGTCAGAGTAAGAGAAGAAGATGTGACAATGGTGTGTGTGTGTGTGTGTCTGAGAGAGAGAGACAGGTGTTTGGTGGAGGAGGGAGGGGAGAAGATGTGATGCTGCTGGCTTTGAAGATGGAAGATTGGGTCACAAGTCAAGGAATAAAGGAGGCTCTAAAAACTAGGAAAGGCAAAGAGGGAAATTCTCCCTTAGAGTCTCCAGATAGAATGTATCCCTGCCAATACCTTGATTTTAGGCTTCTGATCTCCCAAACTGTAAGATAATAAATTTGTGTGGTTTTAAACCACTAAATTTTTGGTAAACGGAAAACGAATACAATCATGAAAACAGCCTATGATCCCGCTACTGATAAACAGGGGTTTTTGTGAGAGCACACAATGAGTTGTAAAATAATAGCTTTGATCAGTTTCTGAATCTGTCACGAGTGTCATTTCACCCAGAGTGGTGAATCATTGAATTCCCCTCCACTGAAAAGAATAATTGAGCCAGTTTAAGTCTTGGTCTGGCATTTGCTGTGTGACTTCAGGCAAATCACATAACCTCTCTGGGTCTCAATGATTTCATTTATCCATGTTTGTGCTACACACTCAGAAATAGCCTGAAGTGTCATAAAAAGAGAGGCACAATGTATTTTGGTAATTCTATTGAGGAAGTCATCACCATTGGCTGGAACAACTGGTAAGTACCACCCATTAGAACTCCTCCATAAGGATAACACTAGGAGTTATTGAGGTTTGTCTTGATTTTAGCAATACAGGATTCCAAATGTTCAGTGCAGGATAAGCCTGAGGGACATGTCAGGCACACAATAACACAGACTTGTGGAGGTGAATGGATGAGGAAGTGTGGGGGGAAAAAGCACCGAGGACATAAGAGAGGGTCTGGAACACCAAGGCAGTGCAGAGCCCCTAAAGGTTTCTGAAAGGCTTTTATGATCTCTGCAGACTGTTCTAGGAGCCCTCTAGCATGTGAGCTGTGGCACGTGCAGTGGCCCTTGGCAAACTGTCATTCATCTCCGTATCCCCAGTGACCAGGCACCATAACCAGTATTGAATATGGCTCACAATATATGTGTTAAATGAGTGAATAAGCCCAACTAGCCTTTCTCATCTTAACTCTTCCCTAAAGGCTATGTCCTGGTGGTGCCATTTACATAATATCGTATGTCAATGGTGCCTCCTGGACTTTTGAAAACAGCATCTCTGCCTCCCTTCCAGCTCTGTCTCAGAGAGGTGGACTACTGGAGTTTTGTCGCCAAGAGATAATGAAAGCCTGAACTAGTGACAGCAGTGGGAATGGAAAGGAGAAACAGGTGCCAATGTGATTTATTCTAGGGTGGTCTGTGAGATACCCTCAGATACTCTTGACTAGTCAAAGTAAAAATCTTCTTTTATTTCCTTCTTATTTTCCTTGAGAATAGTTAAATAATAATCTGTTATATAAAAGTGCAACTCTTATCACGTATCTCCTGTTAAGCACAATTTACTATTATCATAAACCTCACTCTTCCGTCAAAAATTTATATTGACCCCATCTTTCTATTTTAGGATCTAGTGCTTCAGTCAAATTCAAACCATCTAGAGCAATATTTTAAGGAACGAGAAAAAGACAACAAAAAAGTCTGAAATTTACCAATTTTTACAAGCATACCAAATACTCAGACTTATAAGCATTTTTCTTGAGTCCTAGATCATAGAAGCATTTGCCAAAATGGCACTGACCACCTTTATTACCATAATTTGCTTCCCAAAGAGAGTTGAAATGACAAAGAGAATTAATGCAAACCAAAAGTCATTTTGATTATAAAGCAAGCCTCTGATTCAAATGGAGTATTTTGAAGTTATGGCCCTTCAATGAATACCCAAGATTCCTTACATTTATTTTCTATGGATTAAATCTTTAAAAAAATATCACTATGATCTTTTTGGAATTAGATAGCATATACATAAATTAATACATAAATTCTTCCAATTTTAAATCTATCAGATGATGAGTATTTATAGAATCAGACCAAAAGTTATTAAGGAACATGATACTCATTTTGTTTGATACCTAATATAAGAGTATAGGTAGCTAGCTTAAAAAAAAATAACTTTTCTGGATTTATATTTTATAGTTAAGTGTATCACCTTGGGTATTAAACATGCTGCTAGCTATCTCTTAATGAGCACCCGAGCTGTCATTTTTAATAACAGAATGACAATTATTATCTATAAGTTCTATTCCCTGAGAATCATTTGTGCAATGCTTAAATTAATATTGGTAAGAATAGAAACTTACTATTTTGCTTATAAAAAATAATATTATTTTATAATACCTGGCATAACATTATAGAAAATGGGACATACATTTACAATAAAAAATCAACATGTGCCCTAGTGCATGCACCACTTCAATATGCAGCAGAACTTTATACAAAATTTTAGTCATGAATCTCAGCTGTTCATTGTAAAAAATGGTCATTGGTCTATATGAGAAAAATATGCAAATTCAAGATAAAATATAATAAAACAAATAAGCCAAATACTTGGCCATTCTAATCTTAGAGCTCTTTTTCTCAATTCAAAGCAGACACAGAAAATGAATGCCATAAAAACTGAAATTATCTAATTCATCTAAGTATACATACCGTCAATATGTAATACAAGCAATCATATCATAGCCTGTGTAATTCATTGGTTACAGTATTCTAGAAATTCTACTTTATTATCAAATACTAAACATTAAAAGCATATACCTCTTCCACAAAGCTGTCTTTCTTCTCTAGCATTTCTCGTAAAGTCTGGAGAATTTTAATGCACAACTTTTCTTCCTTCTCCATCAGTTTCTTTGTATGATTAATCAACCTGAAAGCAAAATATTAAACCTTAAATATGACAGTGATTTCTCTTTGAGCTATACATTAACACTATATACTAGAGAGAAAAAAAGTCACACTATTATTTGAAAATGTGAAGTAAACAAGATACCTATTTTTTAAACTTTTGAAATTACACTTCAGCTCATAAACTTTGTATTATAAAGCATCCTTTGTTTTACAGGCAGTGTACCTCAGTGCTTTTAAATGTATTCAAATAGCATACTTTTAGTGGGACACAATACTCTAAAAGACAATAAGACACTGATGATGATTAACTGTGTATGAACTAAAGCAACTTGAGTAGTAGAGAAATAAGAATATTTAAGCATATTACATTTTATTATCTTATGTTATAGTATATTATTTTCTATATACTATATTACCTTAATGATAGAGGTACAGTAGCAGTGTACAACACTGCAACCTTAGCATAATGGGCTGCTTTTCAGTTTCCATTAATAATAACGTGCTATTTTTCACTGCTAGGGCTTGGTAGAAATAGGAAGTTTTGTGATTGGAAGCAAAAAACAACAACAAAGTAACATCAAGTCATTCTATCCACTTACTTTTTTTTTACTTTTTCATTTTAGAGAGGGATGGGAGAGGGGAGGGCGGTGGGGGGGGGGAGAGAGAGAGAAAGAGAGAGAGAGAGAGAGAGAGAGAATCTTACATTGGCTCCATGTTCAACATGGATTCTGATGCAGGGCCCAATTCCATGACCCTGGGATCATGACCTGAGCTGAAATCAAGAGTCAGATGCTCAACTGACTGAGCCACCCAGGTGCCCCTCCATTTACTAATTTTACTATAATTTGGGCAAGAACTCTAATTTTGTAGTGGCAACCTTTGCACTGGTGTTCTGTCTGGACAAAAGTTTCAGGATCACAGTTGTATGCAACCTCAAGAACTCAAAACCAAGTAAAATGTTTATACTCAGAATTTATAGCTTAGCATATATAACTCTTAAAAGCTGGTTTCTACAATGACCCTGTGAGACATGTCTTCCTAAAAAACAGAATGATGTCAGACATAATGGAATGGTCCCATTTCAGCAACATAACAGGAGTATCATGGGACATAACCCTGAGGAAAAGTGAGCTTTCAATATCTAGTCAGTGCTTATCAGGTGTCAAAGTGAAGTATGAGGACTTCCCAGGGATTCTCTCAGTTCATCCTCAGTGCTATATGTTCTATTATTGGCCTCATGAGAAAACTGAGGTCCAGAGAGATAAACCAATTTGTCTGCAGTTACACAATCATTAAGTGCTGGGATCTGGAAATAGACCCATGTCCATCTGACTACAGAGCCAAGATTCTGAAGCACCATTCTGTGCTGACACGATGAATTTACTAATGCCTTGAGTCTCAGAGATACTGTGAAGAGAGTCCCCACACAGCCACCTCTTATATGATAATGATAAGTGTAACAACACAGGTAATGGCAAATACCACACGTTAGACAAAGAAATGATTACATTCTGTTGGGGGAGTTTCCTAGGGCTGATCAGAGGTTTCAGTGAAGAGATAACTTTTAACAATGAAGATTTCACCTGGCAGGAAAAGGTGGGGAGGGAAGGCATCCTTCCAAAGAGAACGGTATGGACAAAGGGCAGAGCCAGAAAGCTGACCATCATGTCCAGGAAATGATAAGTAGTCCAGCTGCCAGCTGACACATGAAGACATGAAAGAAGAGAGTATTAGAGATGCAATCTGAAAAGAAGGAACTGGGAATATTATGCTCAACAGTGGAATTTACTCTATAGAAAATCAGGAACCACTATTATCAAGGACCTGAATGACCCTGCCTACATGTGAAAGGTGACATGGAAGAGTGAGAACAAGACAAGGGATGAACAGGGCATGTGATGGGGTAATGATGCAAGAAGCAATAGAGAGATAGAATAGCCAGGACTTGGTAAGTAATGACAAATGGGAAGTAGAAGAAGAGGAGGAAGGGCAGATCATAGACACCTGAAATATACAGACTGGGTGAACAGATGGACAGTGAGTTTTCAATGATACCTAGGCCATCCTGAAGGAATAGCATGCTTGGAAGGAAAAATTATCTCCTCTTAGACATGTGAACTCTGGGCAAGGTGCTCTAAATCCACGTGGTCAGGCTCAGCAGGCAGAATAATTGTCTTAGAGTTCTCCTTGCAAGGAAAACATCCGCCTTCCTGAAACCTCTGCTATTTGGTCTTTTCTTTCGTGTGGTAGTCTTTGAATACATGAACATAGTTTTGGTGGGCATTGTGAATTTCTTTTGATTTTTTTTCCCTCAGACTATTTTAACTCCTCTTAGATAAATACTTAATTCACTAAAATATGCTTGAAAATATCAAGCATAAAGGTGAATACCATCTGCTAGGGGTTTACACAAGGTATTTGTTCATTACATAATGTTTGCTTGAGTAAAATCCATGGCCTTCTAATATTTTTTCTATGATCTATATAAGAAATAAATTTCATGAAACAACTCATCATATAAATACATGTGTGTAGTGTATTAAACTAACATAAAAGTTACTTTTAATGGTTTTTATATTTTCTCCTAATTCATTTTTTAAATTAATGACTGCTTCTCCTTCTAAATTAATTTTTAAACTCATAGTGAACCACATCCCATGGTGTGATAAACATTGAGATTATCCTTCATAAGGGAAGAGTAAGTGGTGATTTGAATAGATTGTAACCAGATACCTTAAAGGTTAACTACCACACTGACTTCTCTCTCTTTATTCTCTTCTCTCTCCATGTGACGAAGCAGACATGTGCATCTGGGTTCTTTCCTCACATTCTCCAGCAGACCCAATTAAGTCAACATGTTCCAAGAATGAAAGTCATTTGAGGAAGTCAGAATCCCTACTAGGGCCTTGGACCTTAGTTGTATTCTTCAGTGAAGCTTTACCAAAGAGCTCTCCACAGTAATATAAGAGCCCTTGCGTAGCTATTAATAAGGTTGGATTCTAATTTTATTAGATATCCTTGCAAAGAAAATCCTTGGTTCTTCACAGAGTTAGGGAAGAGGGAGGATAATCACTAGAGCAGAAAACAAGACAGTCCCGAGCCACTGGCCATACTACAATCATAATAGCACAAAAATTTCTTCTCTAACCACTTAAGTATGTGACATTTTCCCCCATCTCAGTGTATTATCTGTAATATGTTCCCACTATTATTTTGCTCTGTTTCTGTCCTTTTAGATACCTGGTGTTGCAACAGATTTGCTTTCAGCACATTTTCAGCACAGGTCAATATTTTCTTGGCATTTTAAGTTACTTTATATCATCTTTCCATAGATGTATATCTTTAAGTTCTAGACCAGTGCCAGCCAACATAATGTTTTCTGCTGCAGTAATTGAAATGTTCTGTATCTGTGCTATCAAATTTGTTGGCCACTAGCTACCTATGGCTATTAAGCACTTAAAATGTGTCAAATATGGCTGAGGAACTGTTTATTTTTATTTTTATTAACTTAAATTTTAATTTGAATGGCTATGTGTAGCTAGTAACTGCTATATTGACAACCTCATTCTTGATACTGAGTCAACAAACTTTTTTCCTCAAGAGCCAAAGAGTAAACAATTTAGGCTTTGTCAGCCATACAATCTCTGTGGCCACTAGTTGACACTCCTCTAATAGTCACACAGACAATATGTAAATGAAAGTGTATAGCTATGTTTCAATAAAACTTTATTTGTAAAAATGATCAAAAGGATCAATGTACATTGAAGCCAAAGTTTGCCAGCCCCCTCTCTAGATTGTCAAGTCTCTGGGATATATCTACAGTATCATATTAATTTCCTGGAGTTAAAATTCTCATTTATTACTCACTTTTTATTTTTGATATTTTTATTTCCAACTTTTTAATTAGTATTCTATTCAGTGATACATATTCACAGGAGGTAAAGGAAATTTCTCAAAGGCCCTATTTTTTATATTGAATTAGTACCCAATATCTCCACTTAATTTTTTTTCGAATGGCTTCCACAGTCATCAGTTTTGCAGATACTCTGGACCTCTTCATTTAAAAATTCTTGTTACAAGACTGGCAAGTATCCAGACAAACACATTCTTTCCAGTCCCTATAAGACCTAGAAGGTCTAGAGCCGAGAATCTATGATTCTGGCCGTAACACAGAAACACCACCCATTCTTCAACATGATTCCTGTGGTCAGTTCTTCTCATTCCATATCTTGTTTTTTCCTCCCCAAATCCCAGCTTTAATTGGAAAAAGCAAGAACATACTTCTTGTGTCCCCAGTCCTTCCCTTTCTGCCTCAGTGCATCACAGTCAATGGAAGGGGGTGTGAGACCTCTTTCAGCAATGTCCTCAATGACACAGGAATTAACTGTGATGGATAATGGTCAGGGGGTTGGCAGCCTCCTCCAACTGTCCATCCAGAGGGAGCCTTCCCAAGAAGGTAAGTACCCCTGACTGGCCATCCTAAGTGAAGTACTCCATAAGTGCCCTCAACATTATGGTAAGTCTTTTTTTTTCTGGAGCTGGCTACATTTTCTGTCACAACTTACAGCTCTTGAGAATTCCTCATTTACCACAAAAATGGAAATATTCTAGGATAAACACATCAGCTATACTAGATCTGACAATTCCACAGAAATGCTGAGAGAAATAAGTAAATGAGAAGGTTATAGATAAGGAAGATGAAGGCAGCAAGGCAGAGTGCTGGGTCGAGACGTCATAGCTTGTCATCTGAAGCACACCTCAGCCTTCTCACCATTAAAATGAGGCTGAGCCGGCAATCTCTCAGAGTGTTTGTGCAGATAGATATAGGAGGTAAGCACACGGAGGACAATAACACACACAGTAAGGTCTCAGTAAATACGAGTTCCCGTTCCTTCTTCTCTGTTAAAAAAAATAAATGACTGTAAACAGGAATCTTTTTGAAGGTCACACCTTATAGTTATAGCGAGGAATGAGAATCAAAATATTATTGCATGTGACATGTTGTACCCAATAATGACACATTTCATTTTTAGTTAATTTTAGCAACATATAACTTGACTGTCAGCAAAATAAAATTTCAATTGAATCAAGTTAATTATTTTGGAAGTATATTTTAACATGGAATTTAGACTTTTCATATACTCTGTGGACTGGCATTATGTTCCCACAGAGTAAAAAGCAGAAGTGTGTTAGAGGCCATCTTGGTTTGGTGACACAAGCAGAATCTCAGATTGTACCCACTTACTTGGACATGAAAGCACCACATCTTATTCTTGCATCACTCCCCTCGGGGAACAGTAGTTCTGGACTGTACAACACATCAACCAACACTGAGAATTCAGCCTGCATCATCGGACTGAACTGTTGCTCCAACGAGGCCACTACATCCTAAGAAATAAAGCACAAGAGAGCCCATGTGAAGATTTAAATCATATTTCATACTTTTAAGATACGACAGGCCTAAGAATACTAACCAGAAATAAGACATAGGAATTTCAGAGATGTACCCTAATGTCCCATGGCATCAAAAGTCTGTGCTTTAAGTACAGTCTGGTTTCTATATGCATATTGACTGCTTGGGCCACCTTTTTCATTTACAAGATAAGAGAAGGGTGGGTAGGTATATGATTTCTAAGAATATATGCACAAGATGAAAAGTCAGTAAAATCACTGTTATAAGCCCTATAATATCTAGGATTTTAACAGAGACATGGTAGATATGCAGCAAATGAGACTATTCTTGAGGAAGAATTTAAAAAAAAAAAAAAAGACTCCCTATGTGTTTCTGGTTTTCTGGAACTAACCATATCTTCCAATGAGGAAATTCCTTGGTATGATATTTGAAGCAGTATTAGCACTTCACAGAGATTTGGACATTTTATACTATTTCAAATTACTTTTTAAAAAAATTTTTTTCTAGAGATAAAGAGCACTCAAGCAGGGGGAAGGGCAAAGGGAGAAGGGGGGAGAGAATCTCAAGCAGGCTCCACGCCCAGTGCAGAGCCTGATATGGAGCTTGATCCAATGATCATGATCATGACCTGAGCCCAAATCAAGAGTCAGACACTCAAGGGACTGAGCCAAGTGCCCCTCAAATTACATTTTTTTGATAGACATTATTGGTCATCTAACCAAGAGTTTTCCTTTATCCTTCTCCTCACTAACAATCCCCATGTTGTTTCTCAATTAGGCAGTAACACCCTCAGGGAGATGAGGCCCCTCAGCTTAGGGTCATAGTTGATTAGTATAAGCCAATCACGGTCACTCCAGTTCCCCTCCCAATGATTAGTCTAAGCATGATTATGTGACAGGGTCCTGGCTAACAGGGCATCTAGTGATGTCTGTTAAGCAGGCAGTAGTGTGTGTTAGGGGAGGAGGGGTGGGCTCTTTTGAAACTACTGATGGCTCTCAAGACAGCTTGAAAATGGGAACCTAAAGTGTGATGCATCCCTCATATGACCTTTAGAGACCAGCCTCAAGCTAAAAGCCAACAGACCAATAATGTCAGTGCCCTGATCTATCGAGCTACTAAATTAACCAATGCAGGAAGACTTTCAACTCCAGATTCCTTGCTATGTGAAATGATGCATTTTTTTATTGTTTAAGCCACTGTTAGTTAAAATTGTGTTAATTATAGCTGAAAGCATTCTCACTGACATGTTTCTAAAATGGTCTGTGGGCAACGACAATTTACTGAACATTCTTTAATGACTAAAGCATCCCTTTTCTGTTTTTAAAATAACTATGTTAAAAGACAAAAAAAGTCTTCTTTCATAAGGCAGTATTTTATGATTTATTTATTTATTTATTTTTATTTAAATCTAAGTTAACTAACATATAGTGTAATAATGGTTTGGGGAGTAATTACCATGACATATTTGGTAAGCAGAAAACTGATTATCAATTGCTTTTTGTTACTTTCAGCTACAGCGACACAGATGGGGGACCACCTCTCTTTATTTCTTATGTCTAGGTTTCGGGAGTTAACTCTTGTGCAACTCTTTCTTCCCTTTTTAGCAAAAGTGACCATTTGTGCCTCAAGTATTCTAATAAGCTTCCTGAGAAAATTCTGACGACACTTCAAAGAAACTACCAGGAAGGAAATAATGTAAGTCATAAGCTAGACATTATACAAGGTGAGAAGAAAATCTGCCTATCGACTATGACTGGATTTAATAAAATGTCACTTAAAGGTGACTATTTTTCAGGTTACCTCTCTTCATTTCGCTTACTAAAAAAAATTGTGCTCGGGTTCCTATGCTGTGAATTCTGTCTTCATTGTGTATTTTTATCATGGGCCAACTATGTGATCTAACTTGTGGTCCCCCCATGTGAAAAGGCAGGACAGTTATATTCCCAATCATATGGGCTTGCCGTGAGGATTTAAGATAAGTTCACAGAACCTCCTCTAACACATACTGGCCACTTATGACTCCCTGATACATGTTTGTAATCATTGCTGTGGAGTACAAGTCAGCTGCAATCATCACTCTATTAATAAATCCAGTGCTTACTTAGCTGTCCCCATCTCACCCAACCACTGCAAAAGCATTTCACACACTTGCTTCTATTCTGTCAAACACTTTCTGCTCTTGGCTTCTGTGGCATCATGTTTTCTCTGTTTTCCACCTATGTCCTGTCCATTGCTTCGCCAACTCCCAGTAGCTCCTGGCCCTTTCATTTGAGGGATCTCATTCAAGTCCATGGTTTTAATATCCTATATGTACTTGAGCATGCCACATTTATATTTCCTGCACGGGCATCTTTCCAAACCACTCTGGACTCGTATCCAGCTGCCTGTTTGACAAACCCACATGGATATGCAAATAGGTATCTCAGACCTAAAATCCCCCCCAACAGAATTCCTGATTACAATTCTCCCATTCCTCCCTATCTTGGCAAATGATTCAATCATATCATAGCCTCTATTCTTTCCAACACCCCACAACTCATCCACCCATATACCAAGTCCTGTTGGCCTTACAACTAAATATATCCAATATTCATCCACTTCTCTTCATTACTATCACTATCCCCTTAAGCCATGCTGCCATCATCCTTTGCCTGAATTAATGCAAGAGACTCACTTGTATTAATGCTCAATGCTTCCATGTCTGGACCTTATAGTCTATTTACACTCAAAACCCAGTGACCTTTTAAAAAGTAAATCACGTCGGGGCATCTGGGTGGCTCAGTCGGTTAAGCATCTGACTTCAGCACAGGTCATGATCTCAGTTAGTGGATTCAAGCCCCGCATTGGGCTCTGTGCTGACTGCCAGCTCAGAGCCTGCAGCCTGCTTCAGATTCTGTGTCTCTCTCTCTCTCTGACTCTCCCCTGCTCACACTCTCACTCTTTCTCCCAGAAATAAATAAAACATTAAAATTTTTAAACAATAAAAATAAAAAGTAAATCACGTCATGCTCATCCTCTACTGAAAAATCTCCAGTGATTTGCCATCTCATTTAGAATAAAATCCAAATACCTTACCATGCAAGTCTTTACATTACTGGGCTCCTAATTTCACAATCTTCTCCTCCTTTGCTCACTAAACTTCTACCCCAAAGGGTTTCTGTTGGTTCCTCAAACCCACCTAATTCATTCCTAAGTACCTTTGCATGTACTATTCTCTCCCAATAAAAATCTCTGTCCTCAAGTCTTTGAATAGATTATTTCTCTTCATTATTCAAATCTCAACTCAAATGTCACCTCAACAGAGTAGAGCTCCCTGCTATAAGATCTTTCTCCCAGAATTTCTTCACCATGTTGTTACCATGCTTTATTCTATTCATAGCAGATTTTTAAATGTTTATTTTGAGACAGAGAGCATGTGCACAAGGCGGTGGGGGGGGGGGGGGAACAGGCAGAGAGCAAGGGAGAGAGAGAACCCCAACCAGGCTCCTTATTGTCAGAGCACAGCCGAATGTGGGGGCTTGATCTCATGGATCTTGAGATCATGACCTGAGCCAAGATCAAGAGTCGAATGCTGACTGAGCCACCCAGGTGCCCCTTATAGTTTCATTACCTAACATTAAAGCATTCATCTAATGGGGGAGGAAAGGTGTTGCCTGAGAGCACAGAGCCCACAGCTCTAATCCCAGCACAGAGTAGCTGGTGTTGTTTCCACCAAAGACATTATTTATTTAATGAATGCCAGGGAGTGTTCCAAAAGAAGTCCAAGGCATACCTTCTCTATGCTGGCTAACACTTCTATCCATCTCTCTCTCATCTGGCTCTCATGAACCTGACTCTTCTCCTTTATGACCCTGCCTTTTGTCTCTCTTACTTAGCCATTCTGCCACCCCTGGCCTCTTACAAGATGTTCTTTGTTTTTCCTATCACTATATTCTCTCTTTTAGCAACACCATCTGCTGTCCTTGCTCCAACTAATATCCCCAATTATAGACCTAACTTGCCACCCATTTCATAGACTGTTAATGTGATTCAGCATATTATCAATGACCATGGCCAACCTCCTTTTATTGTATTCTTTCCTTCCCTCCTGCAGTAAAAAGTTTTACTAACATCACCTAGTCTCCAAACATCAGTACCTCTTAACATGCCTCTCACTGTCTCTCTCTTATCTCCATCCGAGAGCCACCAGGTATGTTGACCCTGACTTCACTATTGGAATGCAAGCCCTTTTTCTTCATTTCATTCATACCGCAACCTGGGTGAGATATTTAGTGATTCCTTTTTTTAAAGGATTTTATTTTTTTATTTTTACATTACTAATTTTTGAGAGACAGAACACAAGGTAGGGAGAGGCAGAGAGATGAAGGAGACACAGAATCGGAAGCAGGCTCCAGGCTCCAAGCCGTCAGCACAGAGCCAGACATGGGGCTCGAACTCACAAGTCATGAGATCATGACCTGAGCCGAAGTCAGACACTCAACCGACTGAGCCACCCAGGTGCCCCATATTTAGTGATTCTTAACTGATCTGTCCTCTTCTAGTCTCTTCCCGATAATTCTTTCCTGCAAACTAGTAACTGTTTAATTACTTATAATGACATTTTCACCAAATTTTTAAAGACTTATAGCCTTTAAGCTTTTCATACTGAGTCTACCTTGTCTTTTTATTCATATATAACACTCAGCTATTAAAACTCTGGACCTCCACCAATTATTCTACATGTGACGTCTTGCAATATTTATTCCAGTTCATGTCTTGACTATTCTCCAAGCCAAACAATTTCCTTAAACCATACCCTAATTGACTGCATGAAATCGTCTACAATAATGTGGGTGGGAAGATTTCTGTTATGGGTTGAATTGTGTCTCCCTAACAAAACTCATATGTTGAAGTACTTCAGAATGTGACTATTATTGTAGATAGGGCCTTTAAAGGTAAAATGAATTCATATGGGGAGGCTCTAATCCAATATGACTGGTGTCCTTCTAATAAGAGGCAATTAGCGTATAGACATGTATGTGCACAGAAGAATGACCATAGGAGGACACAGTGACCAAGTGGCTACCTGCAAGCCAAGGAGAGGGGCTTCAGAAGGAAGCCTTGAACTTGAGCTTCTAGCTCCAGAGCTATAATAAAATATGTTTCTGTTGCTTTAATCACCAGGCTGTGGTATTTTTTTGATGGTAGGCTGAGTAAATGAATACAATGTCTCTCTTTATATGATGTCCCAGAATGTCCAGGCCAAACACAGGATTGGGATACTACCCAAATAATTTGGGACTAAAGGTGGTTACACCATTTTCGCCAAAAGGACTATGAGAGAATACTAAGAGATAAACTGAAGCAAGGTTATGAATATTTAATTTATTACATGAGAATTTATGGTAACTTATTTTTCCAAATTTTATTATTATGATATTGTTTTGATATTAAGACTCAATATTATACTATCAAACACAATAAGTAATACATACTCACTAAAAATAACTCACTACAAAACAGCTTGCACATGGAAGCTGTTTTTTTTTTAAATATATATTTTTAATGTTTTTTATTTATTTCTAGGAGAGAGAGAGACAGCGTGAGCAGCGGAAGGTCAGAGAGAGGGAGTCACAGACTGAAACAGGCTCCAGGCTCTGAGCGGGCAGTCAGCGCAGAGCCCGACACGGGGCTCGAACCCACCAACCGCGAGATCATGACCTAAGCGAAAGTCGGACGCTTAACCGACTAAGCCACCCAGGCGCCCTGGAAGCTATGTTTTTAAAAAGAGTAGTATTGGGCACCTGGGTGGCTGAATTGGTTAAGTGTCCGACTTTGGTCCGGGTCACAATCTCATGGTTTGTGAGTTCGAGCCCCATGTCGGGCTCTGTGCTGACAGCTCAGAGTCTACAGCCTGCTTCACATCTGTGTCTCCCCTCCCCTGCTCATGCTCTGTCTCTCTTTCTCTCTCAAAAATAAATAAACATATCCATAAAACCAAAAGCATACTGTATACACTGTATGTTAGCCAACCGAACAATAAATGATATTAATTAATAAATAAATAAACGTTAATAAAAATTTTAAAAAGAGTAGTATTGAGTATTGGTAGGGAATTGTAAAGTAAAGCCTGGTCCCCAATTAGGATTTGATGTTTTAAGCATATTTTATTTGTGTTACTACATATATTAAAAATTATAAGTTAGAAAATAGTAAGCCATTGCATGCTATTATTGTACCTGTAACTTTTCAATAATGTTTCTATAATCCCAAGCAGGTCCTCCAAGAGCTTCCTTATAACGTGGTCCAGAGCGAGCAGACAGTCTCCAACCCATGGCTGCCCTCTGCACCATATTAGAATGGCTCTTCAGGAAAAGAGTATTCACTTGGCTGTCCAAATCCACTGGAATGGCAATTCCACGATTCTTTGCTGAAAAAGATTTAAAATATTTTTCTCTTAATTTGACTAAACTTTCTTACACATTACTGAAATAGTCTTATAAGCATAGAATAAAAAAGAAAAAATATAAGTTCTGTGATGTGATGAACAGTATGGTGACTATAGTTAACAATACCGTATCATATATTTGAAATTTGCTAAGAGAATAAATATTAAAAGTTCTCATAAAAGAAAAACATTCTAACTATGTGAGGTGATGCATGTTAACTAAATTATTGTGGTAATCAGTTTGCAATATATGCATATAGTAAGTTATGTTGTATACCCTAAATCAGTACAATGTTATATGTCAATCATATTTCAATAAAACTAAATAAGAGGATAAAATAAAAAATAAGAGGATATTTAATAAAAAATAAGAGGAAAAAATGAAATCTTTATACTCTGCCATTAAATTGTTTTCTATAACTACAAAAGCATTTAACCTGAAAATATTTCAATTCTTATGACTAGTTATTAAGCTGGGCTCATTAAACATTTAAGAACTTATTGATTTCTTAATGATTAATGTTTGAAATGAACTTCACACAGCATCAATATAGAAAAACAGTATGTAACAACCATGCAAATTTGTACTTTCCCAAGTGCCAAGGAAAATAAGAAAGGAGACAGAAAACATGATAAAATCCTGCCAGTCCACTCATTAGTATAATTGATGTACATGTGCATATGCACACACATGCGCACACATGCAGAATTCCATGTAGTGAAACATCTGAAGGAAGAAATAAAAACTTGAAGAGTATTTAAAAATATGCATTTGAAGAGAGCACGTAGTACATGTCCTTCTTCCCAAAATTTACTAAATGTGTATTTTATCAGACTCACGTCACAGTACTAAAAAGTGAGAATAGTTGCCATCAGGAAAACAGAAATGTTGAGGCATTTTTACAAGCAGAATAAAGATAGGATCGATCCCTTAGAAAAGGGAGAAGATATACATCGCTCTACAAGAGATAAGAGTTAGAACAGGTCTTCCTCAGAACATAGTGAATGAACACCAAGAGTGGTAATGGGGAGTGATCTGGGCAACTCATTAAAGAATAGCATGTGAACCACTGGGAAGCTAAGGTCCTCCTCCCTCTCACTAGCATCAGCAGGGCAGTTAGCAGCAGCAATTTTAACCAGAGGACAAAGTTAGGAACTGGAGAAATGTTGTCTCATGAAAGTGAAATACCTGTCTGGAGAAAATGCCAAATGAAGGTGTCGGGACTTGACAGAGAAGCAGAACAGGGCTTGAAGTAACTCCAAAGATCTTCATCAAATAAGGAGTCAAATAGGTGAGAAAGAAGAGGCAGCTCCAACAAAAAGAGAAAATATACAAAAGACTCTATCTAATCCCTGAGCAAAGCTCTCCTATTTTAACACTTGTTAGTATTCTCAGCTGGTCATCTGCTCCACACACACACACACACACACACACACACACACTCCAAAGGAAAGCCTATATATCATTTATTCAGCCCTTCACCCAGAACTCTGGGTCAGACCTGTCATTTATACAAGAAATGCTTGTAGAGAAATGCCCTCAAAACTGCACTAGATCCCATGCAGTCATTAAAGAACATTATAACCATGAACACACCACCGAGAATCATAGGGAAAACTACAAGCATTAAGGATAAATGGACTCAGTGCAAACAAATGATTTAGGGAGGTACAAAAAATATTGAAATAATTCTAATTATCATCCTCAGAAAATGTGAGCATATACTACACCCCCAGAAATTAGCAAATCAGAAAAAGAAAGAAATCTTGGAAATTACAATATAGTTGCACATATAAACATTTCAAACTGGCTGAAAAAGAAAAGGATAAGAATAAAGACCAAGTTCATAATCTGGGAAAATCAAAGAATCTTCTAGAACATAAAGCATAAAAGATGAAAAGGGAGACCAAAACAGAGAGTATGAAACAGAAAGAGTCTTCCAGGAAGTGAAATATCTAAAATTTATAAGTTTCAGAAAAAAATATCAGAGACAATGGAAGGGAAGCAATAATAGATGACAATAATACCTGATCTGAAGAAAGACCTATGTCTTAAACCTGAAAGGGCCCACTGTGTGTTAAAAGAATTAAATAAGCATATTGACCATGTTCTGGTAAAAAACTGACAATGCTATCATGGGTTGAATTGTGCCTCCTAAGAATGTTACCTTATTTGGAAGTAGGGACTTTGCAAATGTAATCAAGTTAAGGTGAGATCATACTATATTAGGGTGGGCCCTTATCCAATACAACTGGTATCCTTATAAGAAAGGGGTAAGGGAAACAGAGACAAACACACAGAGGGAAGAACACCACGTGAAGATGAAGGCAGAGATTGAATGTACACAGCTTAAAGTCAAGGAATTCCAAGGACTGCCAACGAACACTGGAAGCTAAGAGAAAGGCACGGAGTTTCAGAGAATATGGTGTCACTGACACCTTGATTCGACCTTTAGTCTCCAAAATTGTGCAATAGTACATTTCTATTGTTGTAAGCCATCTAGTTCTGGATATTTGTTATGGTGGTCCTATGAAATGAATATAAATGCCAACAGCCATGAGAAAATGGCAAGAACTTCCAGAGAAAAAAGAGGATTCCTACAGAAAAGAATGGGCACCAAACTTGTCACCATCAATACTGAATGCTAGAATCAGTACAATAATACCTTTAAGAGCTAATGGACAACCAATTTTGAAACTAGGAGTTTACACCCATCTAGACTGAAAATCAAAAGTGATACCCGAATTAAAAAAAAAAAAAACAAAAAAACATTTCAGAACATGTAAGTCTCAGAAATTTTTCTTGAAACCAGCTATGAAAAATCACTCAAACAAAGGACAGGAATCCAAGAAAATGTCAATGTGAATATGAGAAATCATGGCAACTGAGAAGAGAATAAAGCAAGACACAAATGAAGGAAGATCCATTAGACATTAATGGTTGGAAAATTTTCTTCCAGTTGGAAAAATTTCAATATCATCACACTACCTCTTAGTCTCTAATGGTTATAGAGTGAAAACAATTATTTACATTTTATAATATTGTAAGGTCTGATCACTGATTTTTAAATTCTATCATCCTATAATTATTTCATTATATTTCCAGATAGAATATAAATTCCATAAGTCATAACAACGTAAAAGCAATAATCTACTCAGCAATAGTTAGAACACAGAGTGGGAGAGAAAAGATAAAAACAAAGTCAATTTGTTAAGTTCTTCATTTTTCAGTGTGGAATATGGACATTATTTATAGCTGTGAAATCAAGATACAGAGACATAAGGATATTATTTAAAGTTAATGTGATTGGGGCACCTGGGTGGTTCAGTCAATTGAGCGTTTGACTTCAGCTCACATCATGATCTCACAGTTTGTGGTTTCGAGCCCCACATCAGGCTTTGTGCTGACGGTTCGGAGCCTGGAACCTACTTCAGATTCTTCATCTCCCTCTCTCTGGACCCACCCTCTCCCCCCCACACACACTTGTGTTCTGTCTCTCTCTGTCTCTCTCAAAAATAAATAAATATCAAAACTTTTTAAAAATAAAGTTATTGTGATAGTCCCTGGAAGACTTTTTTAAATGAATGGAAGTAGGAAAGAAAGAATTAAAAAGAGAGAGAGAGAGAGAGAGAGAACCTGGCTTCCCTCGTATAATGAAAGCAACAATAGTACTAATTATGCTGGTGAAAATTCTCTGAAGTTGAAAGATACTTTAAACTTCTTTGAAGACAGGTAATTTTAGCTACCAATACAAAAAGTTACCAATTTAAACAAGAGCTCTAGCTGAAGTTTAAAGACATAATAAAGCTCTCAGGCAACCCTAAACAATTAATTGTATCACTGCCCAGATTTCCCTAGCAAATGTTTTCCCAATATTCATTATAAACATCCTTTTTCCAACCCATACAATGTCTCTGTTTATGTCCATCACACACAGCATTGCAACCTCACTCCTGTTCCATCTGAAGGACAGACGGCCTCGACACCGCCAAGCTGCACATACTTGTATAAATACTGAGTCCTGCACCACGAGCAAGTCCTGGCGAGACTCTTCCTTTTCTGGCTCCTTCACACGTAAGCTGGGCTTACTCTAAACATTCGAAAGTCAAACAGAACACAATACTGTTCTATGCTCTTTTCTAAGCAGCAAAACAATAAAAATTTGTAAATTTCAATGTTCCTCAAAATATAGCGTAGCCAAGTTTACACTAACATTTAAAAAAATAGAGGAGGGGATTGGGATGTATCTCCCCTTTAGGAATCAGGTACATCAGGTACAACCGACCATCAAGGAAGTGTTGTTGCTATGAATAGAATGTACACAAAGAAGTACTCAATGAATATCTTCCGTTTTTTGTTAATGTTTATTTATTTATTTTTGAGAGAGAGAGAGAAAGAAAGACAGAGTGAGCACAAGCCAGGAAGGGGCAGAAAGAGAGGGAGACACAGAATCCAAAGAGGCTCCAGGCTCTGAGCTGTCAGCACAGAGCCCGACGCAGGGCTTGAACTTGTGAATCACTAGATCACAACCTGAGCTAAAGTCGGACGCTCAACCTTACTAGGCCACCCAGGCGCCCCTCAATGAATATTTTTCTTTCTTTAAAATTCTTTTAATGTTTTTTTATTTTTAAGAGAGAGTGACAGACACAGAGTGAAAGCAGGGGACGGGCAGAGAGAGAGAGGGAGACACAGAATCAGAAGCAGGCTCCAGGCTCTGAGCCATCAACATAGAGCCCCAGGCAGGGCTCAAACCCACGAACCATGAGATCATGACCTGAGCCCAAGTCGGATGCTTAACCGACTGTGCCATCCAGGCATTCCTCAATGAATATTTGTCTAATGACACCAGCTGAGATGCAGCCCAACGGCAGCACTCTATTAGTCTCAGAAGTGCAGGCTTCTAATTAGCGATCTCAGAAGAATCGCACTCACCCCAGATGTTGCTGCCACTATCGCACTGCGGCCAACAGCATGGCCACAC